TTCCTATTTTCTTCCACTTACTTTGTATTTTTCCTAGTTTCTTCTTTTCCCCTTCCATTTTTGATACGCTTGTTTGTACTGCCCCCCACACTCGCTCGCGCTCTCTCTCCCCCCATGTGTGTTTGGCGTGGGTGCCGCCGGTTATGGGAGCGGGAGCCAAAAGGAAGAGGAGGAAGGAACACATCAGTGGGAGCCACGGCACCCGCGCCCACAGGAGCAAGTGCAGCACACACAAAAGCCAACAACACCAATAAAAAAATAAATAAATAACCACACAAACAAAAAAAAACAACAACATAAACACAAATATACGGCCCGCCTCCATTAAAAATACGCGTCCCACGCCCACTCATCACACTCCCTCTCTTACCCGTTGTTCGGTACAGCTTGCCGCAGCACTCAGCGTCATTTATTTTCCTCAAATGGGACTTATCGGTGTGTGTATGTTTTTTTTATTTGACTTCCTCCTATTTCCAATACTTCAGCCACTTAGCACAGGGAGAAGACAGCTCCCACCGGGATAACTGGATTTTATCCAGACACCCTTCTTTACGCAATTTTTTTTTTCATTGTTACCTTCGTTGTCTATCCTTCCTTGTGTGCTTCGCGGCAGGCACTTTTTTTCTATCTCAAGCGCCAGTTTGTCCAGCTTGCCCAATCCCTTCTACAAAAATATTTTTGCCATGTTCAGAGGATACGGGCCTCTGGAGGAATGACGGCGTTACCGTCCCCACCACTCCGTCACGGAACGGTTTTCCCCCAACACACGCCGGTGCATCGCACCTCATTTGTACATTTGTGCCGTCGTGGCAGGGGGCGGTGGCATCGGGTCTCCCGCTTTCTTGTCTGCCCACGCATGCCTGGTGGCATCGCCGTCGCGGCCTCCAGAGAGCAAAAGAGAGCGTAAGAGCGCGGGGTGCGCCTGGCGGCCGCGGGGCCCCATTACCAGCCCCCCCGAGCCCCTATCACTCCCTTCTCTCAGGCACCACTTCACCCTCTTTTCTTCTCTTAAATTGCCACTTTGCCACGCATATTTTTACCCTCGGCACCACACCCGCCCGTATTGCTTCTCGACCCGAAGCGGCTACACCCACCCACGCCCAAAAGTAAACGAAGATCCACAGAATGCGGGATGCGCCGCTGCAGCAGCAGCCGCAGAGGCACACGCCCACACCAACGCGGGCAAAGATGCCCCCACGTAGGCATCAGTAAAGGCCTCACCCAAAGGTAGAACGACTCCTTAATCAACAGGAAAAAAACAACAACACGCAACCACACCCACACCAGTAAAAGTAGTGAAAGACATGTATATATATATACTTTTATATCATGTGTGTAGTAGAAAAACTCACGCAAATACAGAGAGTATGGCAAAGTAAGAGAGAAAGAACACACACACAAAAAAAAACAGAAGTCCGTATAGCTGTTCCCCACATTTCTACAAGACTTTTTTTTAGCATTCTCACACGCCCACCTCCTCCCCGCGTCCTGCTCGCAAGGATAACAGATGACTGGGATAATGCTCGTGCACCTTCGAGTAATGCCACTCATGTAAAAAAAAAATCCAAAAGAAAAATATTGCTGGCAATGTTTGAAACAAAAAAAAATGGAAGTCAATAACTAACCGTGGACAAATCACTGAAGAGAAGCTGATTCAAGCTTCTCCCTCTCCACTGATAGAATCATAACTACTACACCCCGAGTCCCAGCGAATTCAATGAGGAAAATAGTTGCTCAAGCCTTTCAACCAAAAACGGGAGAAGAATGAATACGGCAAAAAGGACGATATACGCAGAAATGGAAACCCTCTTTGCCGTTATTTTCATCCCTCCTTTCTTTCCAATCCCTGACGCATACTTCTGTCTGGCGCAGAAGCAATCACGAGAAAATAGGACAACAACAAAGAAGGCCGTGATGGGCTCATTGCACGGCGAAAATTCCGGCGCCCCCAAAGAGGAGAAAACAAAACAAAACAAAACAAATAAAATTCAAGATAATCAATCACGCGGTTTATGGCAACGGGATAAAGAAAGGCTAGCCTCTCTAGCCACACCGTAACAAAATAAGGCCAAAACAACAAAGTAAAAGGTAGGGGCAGAAATCCTCTGCTCTCATTCAAACCAAAAACAAAGAAGAAAATAACAAAAAAAAAAGGTGTCGCCCTCAAGAAGCGTCGAGTAAGAAAAAAAACACATACACAGAAGAAAGAGAAGATAACTGAAACAGCCCCTTCCACCGCAAGCAACATAGTTTCTTCCAGGTTCTCTCCACCCACTCTAGTTTTCATTCTCTTTCTTTGTCTTTTTTTCTTCTCGTTCTGCCCCATTCTTCTTTCAATTCCCTTGATGCATGTCAATTGACAGGCCAGCAGAATACGGGAGACAAATCCAATGCGCACTTCATTCCATTCGTTTTTAGCATGTATACGTATATCTCTATACGTACATGTACATGTATTGCATTTGCAGCCCCTATACATTTGTCGAACGCGGCATGCGTCATGCTTCCTTTCCTCCCAACTGGGGATAACCAAAATGTTTACTTATGGATAAAACATGAACCTGATATGTACTCCCCGTCCTCAGCCCCTACTTCTTTTTTTTTTGCTTCTTCTTCTTTTCTGCACTTTTTCTTTATCCGTTTTTTTGTATGTTTTCTTTTCCTGTTCGATTCCGACTTTTTTTTTCCGTGTGGGGAATTTTCCTTCCTCCACGCCTTTCCTCTCAATGAGAGCGAAAGACAAACAATGCCTCACGGCGGCCTCAGGAACAACTGTTTGTTTTGCTGTTGCACCTGAAAAAGTTTCGGCAGGGGGCGGGGGCGCTGGCCCTCTCTCTCTCTCTCTCTCGCATGTCGCACGCCCCTGTGCCCGTTCCGCAGCAACGCACTCACCCACACACACAGACTTGCGGCCGCACGTCTGCTGTTCGTCTGTTTATCCTGGCATATCGGCAACTCCCACGTGCCCTCTTGCAGGGATCCCTGTCCTCGCCGTGTGGGCATGGACGGACACAGCACGGGTCAGAGTGGGCGTGGAAATGGACGCCAAGTTCCCCTCAGGCGCCCAGCCACCCACCCACACGAAAAACCGAAAAAACCAATCATTAGGAACTGAACAAAAGAAAACAAGAAACCAAAAAAACATCTACTTACGAGATACTTTCTTCCTCCTCTTCCAAATGGAAATATTTTGAGTTTTGGTTAATTTTTTGTTGTTGTTTTTTCTCTTGATTTCCCGTACAGAGTACGCGCAAGGACAACACGTCTCCTTTGCTTTATTCTTTTCTCAATTCCCTTCCTTCCTTTTTGTATTTTCATCGATTCTCTCTGTCATTGTTATCGTCTTTCCTTCACGCTTTTTGATCGCTGCCACAAGTCGCGACACCGTTACCTTCCTCACAGCCACCAGTCCAGTTCCTCGTTTCCTCACCCACGTCCCCTCAAATATTTGTGACGGGGCTTTCGTTGAGCGTGTGCAGAAAACGACACTTTCGGCGGTTGCAGCAACGGTTTATAAAATGGCGACACACCACGTTGACATTCACTTTATTGCCAGATCCACGGGCCATCATGGCGTCAGAATTGTTTACCAGACCTGAGGGATTCAGAGTGTTAACGTGCATCGATGGTGGAGTGGCGATGCCAGGGCCCTCCATTGGAAAAAGATGACGTGGGTAAAGGGGGAGCTGTTGGTTCTGATGCTCTGGTAGAGTGGGCTGCGGATACGGCTGCGGCACTGCGACAGTCGTTACCATGTAGACAAGGGGACACGTGGACGTCTGCGGTTGCGGTGTCTGCTGCAGTTGCGGGATGAACATTGACTGCATCGGCGACATCGGCGGCATCTCGGGAGCCTTTCGCATGGACAAATTGGGCTGAGCCATCGTCAGCGCCTCCTCGCATCGGTGCTGCGCCGTACACGCTGTTTGGCGTCCACATCACTGCACGCGGGGCACCGGTTGCTGCGATCTCCGAGCTTGGTTGGGAAACGGTAAACAACGGTGTCTGCTGCGGTGTCAATGTTCCTTCGGAGGGGCAACTTTGAACGTCGGTGAGGGAAACCAAAGAAGGTGTCGGGTTCAGTGGGGAAAAGCTTGGCGTGTACATCGGGGCGGGGCTCGGCAAGCGAAAGTTCTGGCTGGGTGCATCAACGAAGAACATCCCGTTCCGTTCGCTTTTCCAGAGCTCAACCGCGTTAGTTCCTTGGTTTCTTGTCGTGTTTCAACTCACACGGGCTCGAACGTAAAATAAAAGTCTTTGCAGATGGAGTTTTTCCAAATTATTATTACCGTTGCTTCTCTTGCTTCGTGTTCACCCTCTGCACGTGCGTGCGAGAAAGAGAAAAAGAGTACCAAGAAGCACAACCGCATGGGCGAAAAGAAGGGCACAGACAGACACAGTATGAAGCAACCAGGCAGGCAATGAATAAAGGGGCGGAAACAAAAGGGGGAGAAGTAAAAAAAAAAAAAAGGGTGCCGTTAACGATTCATGCCACAGGCGCCACTGACGATTTCAGAGCAAGCGGAACACCCTATACGCCTCACTCCCGCCAAAACCACAAAATTTCCTCGCACACAAGCAAAAAAAAAAGAAAAAAGAGGTTTGTTTGCCAAACAGACGCAGGGGATCTCCCCCCAATAGGCTGGGGGGAAAGAAAGGATAGTGAGGGTCTTTTTCGTCTTCTCCGAGAAACACTCCGCGGCGCATGTGCGACTCAGCAATAAACAAGTATTTACGGCACCACAACTTAATCACATGAGCATAGGCAGAATACAGATTATGACAGGGCTGCTCCCTTCCGCAGGCGCACCAAAAACAAAATCGCAAACCGGAAAAAAAACAACAACAAAGACAAAGCGAGTATCGAGGTTGGACAGCACACACGCACACACGCACACACAAACGCAGATAAGGCGTACCTGAACACATAAACAACAACAACGACCTATTTAGCGTGAGAGAGCATGAGATAATGCTTGGCACCACTGTCGCGGCGGGAGCGCAGAAGAAGCTCCACTTGCGCCCGTTCCACACTATCCAACTCCTCCATCCTGGCCATTTGGGCGAGCGCTTGACTTGATTGCCCCAAAAGGGCTGTCAGTATGCCTTCATTGCGTTGCAGCGAGGTGAGGGAGTCGGCCCACAGCCTTTCACCTCCCACCGACTCCATCACATGGTTAATGGTTTGCAATAGGTTGAGCAGAAACGCCACCTGGCTCTCCGAAAGTGGCCTTGTACCTTCTCGCAACAAGAGGGAGTGAAATGCCCCATAATACGATCGCACAGCTATTTCGTTAAGAAATTCGGTGAACAGCCCCTCCTCAAGGTTATTTTTGACTGTCCGAAGCTGCTGCCCGAGATAACTATCAAGACAATCTGCAGCGTGCTTCATCACTGAAGGGATCACGGGAAACTTTCCCAACGTCTCGGCATCGGTAAGATCAGAGAGAAAACTCAATACAGACCGTTCCAAGGCATGCCCAATGTGCCGCTCAAACTCCTCCCCTGTCTCCATCGTTGACGCGCGCGTTTGCTCAGCAATCATCCTGCGCTGGTGCTCGACTACACGCTCAGTGTCACCCAATAGATGAATGAGTTGTTGTGTGACGTCTTTCTCCCCAAACTCCCGCAACACTTTCTGGTAGCGCTGCAAATTGCTTAGGCAGACCAACCACTCCTCCAACCGCGAAGCGGTGCGGCCCTTTGCAACCACGGCGTCAACAAACGCCTCTCCCATTGTCTGTAGAAGCGTAAAAAAATGTATCACGTACATTTCATGCTGGCGAGGATCTGTCCAAGAGAGTATACGCACAAAAACAGCGAGTAGAGCCTGAAGCAGATCTTGGAGAAGTCCAGGGGAGTGGTTGAAATGCACCGCATTTGGCACAAGCGGTTCCAGTGTCTCACCCGTCACAATACTCGCCATCCACGCGGATACGTGTCCCTCGCACAGAGGAAACCAAAAGGAGACAAAATCGGCAAAGCAAGCTGCCAAGTCGCGGCACATGGAGCATGTTCCAGGCTCCTTATCGAGGGCATGCACGAGGCTCATCACTGAACCGTAGGTGGAGACAAGAAGTCCAAGCGTGTCACCAAGCGGATCCGGTTCGGGTGTGCGAACAAGACAGGCTAAAATACGTGTCACAACATTCCGGAGTGGGACACAGATGGCTTGTGTGATGCTTTCTAGACGACATATGGTAATAGCCATAACTGCGGGGGACCCAGACATCTTTGCAAAGGAAAAGGCTCGCTTGCCTCGTTCGGTGACCTGTGTAATCAACTCAAACAAGTAGTGTGCTTTACCCGTTAGTCGCGCTCCATCTCCTTGGCGCTCAAGCTCCGGCAGAGCGAGATCGGTTACGGTTTCCCGCACCACATCACGACGATGCTCGCGCAGTACACGACCATCTAACCGTTCTAAGGCTTCCACCAGGGGTTTGGAGCCTCGTTGTGCCTCCTGCAGAATGGCATCATCGATGCTCATATTCGCGTCAAAGAGAAGTAGGAGTTTCTTCATCTCCTCCAGTACTTTTTCTGCCTCCTGCGGTTTCAACGGCGAAGATGATTTCCATGAAGGCGAGCTGACGTCTTCCAAAGACAAAATCGTATCAAATATATGAGAAAGGGTTGTCTCGAGAGCATCCTTGACCAGATGCTCTGTCACTTGCGTCGTTAGCGTGCCGCGGAGGTTAAGTAGCGAGACCAACGCATGAATGCAAAGCTCACGCGAGGCCCCGTCCGCCAAGTTGCAGCGCGTGCAAACGGCGCTGAGAAGGGCAACAGTTTCAAGCTCCCCGTGAATCAAGTAGCGGCGACAGTATGCCTTCATAATTGCAACACTTATGTCGTCAATGTCACCCAAAATATCAACCAGACGTAAGAAGGAATTGTGGTGGTCTTTACTCCATGCATCTTGGATGGATGTAACAACCTCCATACTTGTTCGCGCTTGAGCTCCTTCCTCCTCCAGATTGATGGCCGGGGGACGTGTATTGTGTTCCTTATTCAGACAACACATGCTACACAGAGTTTTTGCAGTCTCAATAGTGTAGGGATACCCGGCATTTGTGGTGCTGGTGGTGGTGGTGGCTGGTGAAAGCAAGACGGAAGAAAAATGATAGCCCTTGATTCCTACACTCGGAGCGGAAATGGGTTCATTTCTAACACTATCGTTTCCATAGGGCGTATCAGCGAAAGGGCGCGCGTCAGGGCGACGCAGTGGGGAGTTTGGTTGTGCCACACTCGCATACAGGGCATCGTCAACGGTGATGGTGGCAGAGGCCACGATTTTCTCCCGTGGGGCAGCGCAAAAACAGGATACCTGGGGCACGAGCAGCTCGAGCAGGATGGTGTAGTCTTTGAAGTGTTCCCTGGCACCCTTCGGCAGCAGCAAAGTAACACGACGATCGGGTTGCCACGCGTAGATGCCATCTTTCAAGGCACTTTTTCCCGGCACCACCGCTGAAGCCACACGACAACTTTGCTGCTGCAGACTCCAAACTGCCTTTAGGTGATGCGGTAGACCTTTTTTTGTCCCACTCCCACTGTTCTTACATTTGCTTTCCTCCGTCTCACGAAGGTGTACCCACGTGAGGGAGAGTGTGATGGACCCACCAAAGCACGCGCCACGTTGCGCCCCATGAATCTCTTCCCAAATCCTCTTGGCATACTGCACGTTCATTTCTCTCCCACTCAAGTCTGTGTTCAGCATATGAAGTCGCCGGCGCACTTCCTCGAGGCAATGCTCCTGAAATGCCTCATAGTCCGGAAGGCGCAAAAAATTCTCTGCCCTTCTGTATGGATCCTCGCCCTTCCATGTCGTGTCATACGTGAAGGCTACATAAAGGTACTGCAGCTCTTGCGCAACGCCGGCGTCGGAGGCATGGCGGAGGACCTCCTTCGCAAAAAGCCCCAGAGCACCGGGATCAAGATACTGATCGAGAAATCTTTTAACCAGCACCGCAAGCATCTCTTTTCGCATCTCTGTTCCCCAATCCACCGGGTCCCATGGCGTGCGTTGCGTTATTGCCTTGACTGCATCTGACAACAGAGACATCAGACTCCCTTGGGCGGCACCTGTGCCATTGTCCCAGTCCTCCCCGGCCCAAGAAGACATGGTGCGACGTGCCGTCTCTGCGAGCGGTGGGCTGGCGCTTTTTCCCGGTGTCCTCGCTACAAAACCCGGCTGCGATGCGGATGTCGAGCGCATAGAGCCGTTTGACTCCTCCGAGAGCAGCTCCATCATATACTCCTCAGGGACCTCGATGGAACCTGACCATGAGGAGTCTGCCATCCACGAGGGCATGTATGACCGCCGGGTCAGCTGCGCCCTCCTCCTTTCCTCCGCCCGCGCCGTTGTAAATGCAGAGCCCTGGGGTTCCATCGGGCATAAGCGGCCGTGCCGCAGACGCCAATCCCCGCCTACAACAGAAAGCGACACACAACCCAACCAATCAATGACGCTGCGTTCGCGCAACCCCCTTTCAGCACTCCTCCTCCCCCCAACAAGAACAAAAGGTTTACGCCTGAATGGGGCCCTGCGCGTCCCCCTGCAATTCCTACGAGGCGAACGAATACAACGGTGGGAGGGGACAGCTTGTTTCAGTCTCCGCCCGACGTCCCTCGATTTGGCGGGGGTTAGCAAGCAGAAGCACAACACGTAAACGGTTGCAAACGGGGCACGGCGATGGGAGCCAGTCTCGCGCCGCGAACGCACAAAGTGGCGGCGTGCGTGTGTAGAGGGAGGGCACCCAACCGCCGGACGCCCCTCCGCGTGAATGGTGTTCGAAGTCGTGGGGGAGAAAGAAGAAAGAAAAAGAAAAAAGATCCATTGCGCTTCCCTCCAATGCGGCTTTCGCTGCAAACAAAGAAACAAAAGAAGCATGTAATCAGTCAACGCACAACGCAGTTAAC